TCTTCAAGGTCAGCATCTCGTAAATCCAAGGCCAAGAAATCCAAGAAACATCAGAAGCCAAAAGAGACATTTCATTGGCAGCCTCCTCTAGAGTTTGGGGACGAAGGTGAGGAGGACGATTCAGTCACTCAAACCAAGCAATTACACAAAGCAAGTACTGATGCCATCAATGATGGAACAAAACGTAATTTAAAGGCTGAACAGATCAAGCAAAAAGTCTCAGAGAATACAGATCAGGATCAAAAGATTGTTGAATCACAGCAAGATAAGTTGTCAATAGAGTCTTCTAAAGTTATTGATGAGAATGAGAAGATGCCTAAAATCCAAAAATCAAAGTTACACAACAATACCAAAAGAGATCTTGCTCAAAGCCACCCAGAAACCCTTTCCAATCTTTCAGACACTAACTTGGCAAGTAACAAACCATCAGACCTGAATAAAGTTGAGCCACATTCTCCAGAGTGCATACCAGAAGCTCAGCAACTTGGGCCCAAAGCAACTGGCTTTTCCCCACTGAAAAATATTCTAAATAACGACAACGTGCTTGTTCCATCTCAGAAAGATAAAGTCAGCTCCATTACTACTGGATCAGCTTTACCACAAGACAGTAAACAAGAGGAAACTATACCTGGTGACAGTTGTGTCTCAGTGGTTGAAAATAAATGGAAACCTTTGACAGGGATGACGGCTGTGCAAACCATTACGAGAAAGCCTTTCATTATGAAAATAAACAAACAGCAAGATCAACTTGTAGGAAAGAGCCAGGGTGTCAAGATTGAGATCAAGAGCAAGAGTAAAGTTCGTCCAGGATCCCTTTTTGATGAGGTACGAAAGACTGCTCGGTTAAATCAAAGACCCAGAAATCAAGACAGCTCAAGTGAAGAAGACTCCCTTCCAGCTGCAGGAGAAAAGCCTGAAGCCCATAATCACTCAAGGAGCAAGTCAAAGTCTGTGTCTAGTCATAGGTCCCACCGCAGAAGTAGGTCCCATTCATATAGCCACCCCAGGAGCAGGTCCAGAAGCTACACCTACTCTTCCAGGTTGATTTTAGAAGACATTGTTTTTAATATCTATATGTTAATTCTGTACACCTTTTTTTTAAGTGTTTGCATATATATTTTTTTTAATTCAGGAGCTACAGTAGAAGTAGAAGCAGAAGTAGATACAGTAAAGGACACTCTCGTTCTCGAAGTAGCACCTACCGAAGTTACCGTAGGTAAGCGATAAAGATATTCCGTTATGCTCCATTCTCAGGTATTTTAAAAGAACATTTGTTGTACAATAGGAGATTCATTTTTCTAACTATTTAAGATGTTATGTGATGTTTCAGCCGCACACACAGTAGGAGTTGCTCTAGGGGTCGGTATAGAGGTCGTTACAGATCAAGGTAAGCATGGTGCCAAATTATGAATAAACTTTGATTGTAATTTGATGTCATAAACAATTTGTGTTTTTTCTTTTCCTTTTCGGTTCTTGGATGTACAGGTCAGACTCTTACGATAGTTATTCTAGCCACAGCCGCAGTCGTAGCAGAAGAAGAGGGCATCGGAGAAGCAAAAGCTCTGATCGCAGGTCCAGGTAAATCATCAGTTCATGCTTCTGTCCTTACTGAATTGTATGGATATAATAATATGTTTAATGCGTTGTCTTTCTTTATGTTCAGGTCATATCGCTCCTACAGTCGCAGTTCCTCTAGGCGGCGAAGTCATAGTCGAAGCAGTCGATACAGCTGAGTTTAAGGCATAATGATTGGATCAATAGTTTAATTTTTGTATGGTAATTTACATACTTTCTTGTACACTGACATTATGCTGTATTTTTTTTTTTTACATTTTATGAATGAATGTACATTTGAAAAAAACTTAGTCACCACTTTTTATTCTGACACTTTTTCTGTATTCCTAGCAAAGGGAGCATAGAAACCATCCAACTGTATAGCCAAGGTTATATATAAACAGCTACTTACCTCTTACTTATCTTTGAAACATGAGAGTTTGTAAAATGTATTTCATGTTTGGAAGGATTGTAACACGCAGCTCTGTTGGTTAACATCAATGGAAAAAGTTTTGATTGGACTAAATGAATGTTTTATGTTTAATAGATTGACTTGTTTTTTTATTATTTTTATTTGTACATAAAATACTCTGAATGTATCTAATGCTGCTTATTGATATACTGTTGAATTATAACAGACACACCTTGCCAACTGTAAATAAAACAATATTTGTTTGTGAAATGCTACAAGTGCTATATAATGTTTTCAGGGATCTAAGTTTTCAAATAGCAGTCTTGTAGCGACATCTACTTAATTTTTCAGTGGTATATTATATCGTAGTCAACGTTTAAAGTAAATCAAAAAAGGTTTTCAAAATTGTCCTGACAAGAACTTTGATGAAAGGTTTTGTTCCACTTTAAATGTTGGCTACTGTACACAAAGTTGAGTATGATGCATTAGGAGATGGTCACTGCGGAGGCAAGTAAAAAGTTACAAATCTAAAGAAAATACAATTTAATGCAAACAAAATATTGCATAAAAATATTGCAACCAAAAAAATTGCAACAAATTAGATTTTTTGTCTCTTGATTTTTAAATTTGGGTGTAATAGTTTTTGGACCATTATCGTAAGTTATTTTGTTAGATAAGCTCCGGATTTGACTTCAGTACTGACTAATCTAATGTACATGCACAAATATAATTTTGTGTAGCTTCCTATTAAAAATATAGATTTGTAAGGGGTGTATTTTATATGCTGAGCACTGTACTTCATTTTTCAGAGGTATATTATATAGTAATCAACACTTGAAGTGAATGAATCCTTCATGTCATTAAGCTCATAACTGATCGAAAGGACATGATCTCGCATACAAGCAGCCAAAATGAGTTTCCTTTGCATGCTGGCTGGGCACACCCTTATTGATAGGGTTAGGAGCTCTGTCACCTGGGAGTAGCTCAAAGTAGAGCCGCTGCTCCTCCACATCGAGAAACGTCAGCTGAGGTGGCTCGGGCATCTGTTTCAGGCCGTACTCACATTAGGTACAGTTGCCTCGAACCGGGCCAAAGCACGCTCCCCCCTCCCGTCTCCCCCGATGGCCCACGCTCACGCCACAAACGGGCTTCGACACGCTTACGTCATCGCTGCTGGGCTGTTCAGTGAGAAGCGCTCTCACTCTGCCGCACAGAGGAGATTTCTCTAGTTATATCGTTTCAGTCGTTTGATATGCCGTCAAATATTTCGCCAAACAGTCCTTAGGGATGCGGGGACACGCAGTCAGATATTTCGCCGAACAGATCCGCCTCTTTTGGCGCTCATAAACAATCATAAAGCTCTCGTGCTGCAGGAATGAGGAGGTCTGCTGAAGGCGCGCAGCTGTCGTGCAGTGAGGAGTTTGCGTCTTTAATAAACGGCGGCAGTTTGCGTTCACTGAACAGTAAGAATGATTAATAAATCCATATGAAACAGTCCCTTAAAAGTCACGTCTCGCTTTCAGTTTCGGGCTTTGGCGCGTTTTGCACTCGCACACAAGCGTACCGCGCCAAAGCCCAAGTGAACCGCGCTCAGGCACACCTCTTCCAACCGGGCCAGGGCCGACCAATTGAACCGTGCTTAAGCCCGATTCAGCGCACTCACACTTCTCAAACGATCCGGGAAACGGGCCTGGGCACGGTACGGATGGCATAGTGTGAGTAGGCCCTCAGATGCCTCCTGGACACCTACCTAGGGAGGAGGGACTATGTCTATTGGCTGGACTGGAAATGCCTTGGTGCCCCCAGATGCCGCCCCCCCCCCAGAGAAGCTGGAAGACGTGTCAGGGGAGAGGGAAGTCTGGAGTTCTCTCCTAAGAATGTTGCCTTTGCGACCCAGCCAATGACCTAGAATGAGCGTTGTTTGTTAGTTTTAGGATAAATCTGATAAAAAAAAAGTTTTGACCCATTTTAAATGTTGGTTACTGTACACAAAGTTGAGTATGATGCATTAAAACAGGAGTGTCCAAACTCGGTGCTGGAGGGCCGGTGTTCTGCAAAGTTTGGTTTCAACGCCAATCAGACACACCTGGGCTAGTTAATCAAGCTCCTACTAGGCTTTCTAGAAACGTCCTTGCAGCTGTGTTGCGGCAAGTTGTAGCTAAAATCTACAGGACACCGGCCCTCCAGAACTGATGACTGATGGCCCTCCACAATGAACTCTGGTGCAGTTTAACTGAAATGTGAAAGCAGCACACAACAAAGACATTGAAATAAAACAAGACATGAAGTAACAAGAAGCGACCTTAAAATGCTCGAGCAGTCTTATTTTTTTTTGACAATTTCCAATTATTGTTCACGGACATCAGCATTGTGTCTACTCGCGGCAGATCTTTAGTGTGTGTAGGATGAATTGTAGCGCACAACAAGTGTATTTAGCCCAGAATGCAACATTGTTTTGCCTGTTTTTAAAGCTTTGCTGAATTTTTTTGGGTGCTTTCGTTACACAGGACAAAATGTTCTCCACTCTTGTTGTGAACACCTAAAAATATAAACTGATATTACTTTGTTTACTGACTGTCATTAAAGAGTTCTTCAGATGTATAAACATATACGTTTTTATGAATACTGTATATACAACTGTTAAAGTACAGTGTAATCACAAAAATCGTCAATTACATTTTTACTTAAAACTTAATTGACCCAATGGGACTATTTCTGCTGTTTGCTAAATTCATAACCTCAGCAGGTGCAGTGTTACTTGACTTTTGTTTTATATGTATACTGTATATTACTGCAGAAAAGTATGCATATTCAGACAGGAAATATAATTGCTTGTGCTGCCTGCTGTTTCAGCATTCAGCATGCTCTTGTAAAGTACTGTCAAACATGCAAGGTCACCAGCTGCTGTGTAACAAATGCTCATATCTTCTCATAAGGGCACTTGGTATTGATTGCACATTTTAGAGCTCAGACAGAAAAAAGAATATCCAGTGCAATGGCCCTTTAAAACTTCTGACAAAAGCCCATATGATCCCTGAGCTCCAATCACCAATTCCTACTGCAAAAGCAGCCTCTGCATTTTTGTCTGTCTGAATGCTGCTAGCACGGCGGAAAAAAAAACAGTGAGGGGAAGGAAAACTGAAGAAATGTTAAAATCCAGCGCACTGTTACATGGCGAGCGGAAGTCCTGCGCTAATGGAGTTATTCGCGGACTCCTTCGACGCTAGAGAGCTCGGATCAAAATGGTACAGTAGACACTGACGTTTTTATCATATTGTGCTCATATTTTTATCTCTTTGAATTTTGAACGACTTTGCTAGGCCTGTGAAACTTGCAGTAGTTTGTCCCGGGATGTTTCTGAGTTTTGAATGTGCATGTCGCCTATAATCTTGACCGCGAAATGAAGTTTGCAACTCTCGCCGCCTCTGGAATTGGAAGGTTAACAAGAATGCAATGGCCACAATAGCTACATTGTTGCATTTAAAGAGTTAAATAGTCTCATATCACTGTGGATAGGGAGCACGTCGTGACTGGTGCATTTTGTGGATGTTGATGCTTGTATAATTAAAAGTGGAATGTATTGTGTTATTATACATATGCGCTGAAAATTCTAAACTTTGGGGCTCAGGACGAGACCGAATGCATGTCAAAACTGTTACCTTGCTTGACCTTACATTTGTGGATCTCATTCATAGAGTGCACATTTTAGTTGTGCAATAACTGTATTCTCCAGATATATGATGCTACATAATTGTAGGGATAAATTAGCTCATTAACGTCATTAGGTTTTTTTCTTCAGATGTTACTATTTTTCCTAATGTTATTTTTCACATATCCCAATATTACGATGACCATTGAGATAGTAAATGCTTGTAATTTTATGAATACATAACTTAATATTTATATCAATAATTTTTTTAGTAAAAATGCTACAGTTTACAGTAGTCTACTACAGTAGTCAGAATTATTAGCCCCCCTGATTATTTTTTCCCACAATTTCTGTTTAACGGAGAGAAGACTTGTTAAACACATTTTTAAACATAATAGTTTTAATAGCTTATTTCTAATGACTGATTAATTTTATCTATGCCATGATGACAGTACATTATATTTGACTAGATATTTTTCAAGACACTTCTATACAGCTTAAAGTGACATTTAAAGGCCTAATTAGGTTAATTAAGTTAACTAGGCAGGATAGGTTAATAAGGCAACTTATTGTATAACAGTAGACTAAAAAATAAATAGCTTAAACTTGACCTTCAAATGGCTTTTAAAAAATTAAAACGGCTTTTATTCAAGCCGAAATAAAACAAATAAGATTTTCTCCAGAAGAAAAAAATATGATCAGACATACTGTGAAAATGTACTTGCTCTGTTGAACATCATTTGTGAAATAAAAAAATTCAAAATAAATAAAATAAATCGAAGGGGGTTCAATAATTCTGATTTCAACTGCATATAAGCACATTTAAAAACAGCCACAACACTGACCAAAGTGCTGTACATAAGATAAATAAGATAAATAAGAAGTAAAATGAAGAGACAGATTATAAAAACAGATGAATAAACCAAGAGAAACGACTAAATAATTAAATAAATAAATCTTAATTAGACAATTTTTTATTTAGATTATTTAGACTATTAAAATAATATTTAAACACCAAGGTGAAGTTTTTAGGAGTGATTTAAAAATAGATAGTTATGAAGTCTGATGAAAGATGAACGACAATTAAAATAGTATTTTTTAAGTCAAACAAAAATTTTAAATAGTAAAAACGAAAATATGTAAAACCAACAAAGTAAAACAGCAATTTAAGCATAGTTATAGGAACCTAAAAATGTCATTAATTTAAGGAAATTTTGTCATTTTGTTTTTAGTATAGAGTTTACATCACGCAATTCTGAAAGGTTTTTTTTCCGTAGTATTGTGTGACGTAAAACTGCAAACGAATGTTATGAAGTCATCATTTTTACAAATTAAGTCATAAGAAATAAATATACTATAAACATCACTTCTGGAAAAAATCATGACTAACTATTTAAAACATTGTTATCTAATATAATAATTTATTCATACCTTCATTCATTCATTTTTCTTTGGCTTAGTCGCTTTATACATCAGGGGTCACCAATGTAAAATAAACCACCTACTTATCCAGCATATGTTTTATGCAGCCGATGCACTTACAGCCACAACCCAACACTGGGAAACACCCATACCCTCTTGCATTCACACACATACACTACAGCCAGTTTAGCTCATTCAATTACATTGTATTACATTATTACATTGTTTTTTTTTTTTTTTACAGCTGAATAGATTTCAGTCATACACTGACAAGTAAAATGGTGTCCTTCGACATGATTTTGGTTATTATCGTTTAGTTGAGAGTACACATCAGTATTGGATTATGGAGATAAACTATATATGCACGCAGCTCTGAATGTTTTTTAAAAAAATGGATATTGTTGCCTGATATAGTGCCTTACGGTTTGTCACTGGTTCAAGTGCACACACACATCACTGTAATTTATATATAATATGACAGAATGAACCTCTCATTACAGTTAAAGAGAAAACAACATATCTTAGTTTTTATTTTTAAAGCTTTATTTAGTAAATTACAACAGCAAGTATTTAATTTGTTGGAGTACTATTCAAATACTCACTATGCCAGATCAGCAGATATGCTCTTACTTAAGATGCCATTTTTCCACACAATCTGCATTCTCCAAGTATGCTCCATATATATGGAGTGAGCTTCAATGTATACAGTTAAAATCAGAATTATTAACCCCCCTTTGAATTTTTTCTTTTTTTTTTTTAAATATTTCCCCAAATGATGTTTAACAGAGCAAGGAAATTTTCACAGTATGTCTGATAATATTTTTTCTTCTGGAGAAAGTCTTATTTGTTTTATTTCGGCTAGAATAAAAGCAGTTTTTAATTTTTTAAAAAACATTTTAAGGTTATTAGTGTAGCTATATATTTTTTCGATAGTCTACAGAACAAACCATCGTTATAGAATAACTTGGCTAATTACTCTAACCTGCCTAGTGAACCTAATTAACCTAGTTAAGCCTTTAAATGTTACTTTAAACTGTATAGAAGTGGCTTGAAAAATATCTAGTCAAATATTATTTACTGTCATCGTGGCAAAGATAAAATAAATCAGTTATTAAAAATGAGCTAATAAAACTATTATGTTTAGAAATATGTTGAAAAAAATCTGCTCTCTGTTAAACAGACATTGTGGAAAAACTAAACATGGGGGGTTTAATAAATAAGGAGGGCTAGTAATTCTGACTTCGACTGTATAAAAATATGTACCATCTATCCCTATACTATGTTTATACTATTTTTGTGTGTGTCTATGTGTTGTGGGATGTATTAACTCTATCCTATGCTGCCTGTCTTGACCAGGACTTCCTGGTAGAAGAGATATTGTATCTGTATGGGACATTTCTGGTTAAATAATTAAATAAATTAAATAAAAAATATTATATTAAGATTAATTATATTATGGGTTGTCACGATGGCGCAGTGGGTAGCACAATCACCTCATAGCAAGAAGGTCGTTGGTTTGCGCATCGGCTGGGTCAGTTGGCATTTTTGTGTGGAGTTTGCATGTTCTCCCAGTGATCACTTGAGTTTTCTCCGGGTGCTCTGTCCTCAAGATGGGTTACGGCTGGAAGGGCATCCGCTCTATAAAACATATCCTGGATAAGTTGACAGTTCATTCCACTGTCGCGACCCCTGATTAATAAATAGACTAAGCTGAAAAGAAAATGAAGGAATGAATAATCATATTATTTTAAAATAATTGTATATTGTTCGCAAACGAAGGACAAGCATCAAAGGTTTCTGGATAAAAGCAAGGTTGATAATTAAACTCAATCATTCATTAATTCATATAAATAAGGCCTGTGTATTGCAGTACATTAGTGCTCTAATCTAGAAGCTTCTTCACATCTGGAAAAGCTGGGGTAATATCTGTGTCAGGTCACTAGTTTAGTGCCACAACCCTGTCAGTTTGACCTTCAGTTTCTTGCTCGATCTTTTTCACACAACCCATAAAAATCAAGTTATTTATTTATTTATTTATTTATTTATCTATCTATTTATTTATTTATTTATTTATTTATTTATTTATTCAGTGTTTTAATATTTTCTGTCAGTTGTTAACTGGCAAAACAAAACCAAGAACATTGAGGCATCATTGCTAAAATATCCAAGGTCATCATGGGTTTTTAATTATGAGAACACAAATACTTATAAAGACATTTAGAATAAAAGCCTCAGACAAATAAATAGTTACATCATGATTTCCTAGCATAAATCTGCCTGCTCCTCATAAAAGTGGGTAGTTTTGAAAGAGCAGTAATAGAAGGACTCCTGCTAAACTCTGCAGTCTTGTCCTTTAGTGCTGCGGCCTGGAAAAAAGCATCATGCTGAGGGTTTTTATGTAACCATCTATTCAGGACATTCCAGCGCACCCTTGACTTTGAGGCTTGGTTGTCTCTCAGTGCTGTGCTGTTGGGGTCACTTAAATATATGTGACAAGTGCTTCTCCAATAGCTCTCAGCATTCAGCTCTAGCATGTTCTTATTAGGTTTATCAATGTTGAAGATAGAGTGATTTCTTTTTAATACTATTCAAAGATGTGTACTGTAAAAGAAAAAAAAAAGAAAAATATTAAATAATATTATTTCAAATTCAAGTTAAAAGGTAATTTTTAAATATATTTAAAATAAAATATTGTATTTTTGTGGTTTCTCAGTGGCACGTGATCTTTCTGAAATCATTATAAAATCATTATTTGTTACCCAAAAACTATTATTATTATTATTATTATTATTATTATTATTATTATTATTATTATTATTATCATCATCGGAGGCGAGGCAGTGGCGCAGTAGGTAGTGCTGTCGCCACACAGCAAGAATGTCGCTGGTTCAAACGTCGGCTCAGTTGGTGTTTCTGTGTGGAGTTTGCATGTTCTCCCTGCCTTCGTGTGGATTTCCTCCGGGTGCTCCGGTTTCCCCTGCAGTCCAAAGACATGCGGTACAGGTGAACTGGGTAGTCTAAATTGTCTGTAGTTTATGAGTGTGTGTGTGAATGTTTGTGTGCATGTTTCCCAGAGATGGGTTGCGGCTGGAAGGGCATCCGCTGCGTAAAAACTTGCTGGATAAGTTGGCGGTTCATTCCGCTGTGGCGACCCCGGATTAATAAAGTGACTAA